AAAATGTATTACTCAAAAAATGCAATGTCATCATCTCTTATTACACGGGCATTCCTCAGCATATTGTTGTGTTTTTACTAGAGTCCGATTGTAATGGATATGAGGCGAAGTTTGCGTTGACAGAGCGACCTATGAAACTTTCCGTAGGACAGTCATAATAATAATAATAATAATAATAGTATCTTTATTACAAGTACATGTACAAGGTATACAGTACACAAATAACCCGCACATAAAAGAGAGAAGCTTACGACGACGTTTCGGTCCGACTTGGACCATTGACAAAGTCACTTTGACTTTGTCAGTGGTCCAAGTCGGACCGAAACGTCGTCGTAAGCTTCTCTCTTTTATGTGCGGGTTATTTGTGTATCGTTCCAGTCACGGTATTGTGTCTTTTTGTTATTTATACAAGGTATACAGGCCTAGCTGACATCAGTGGCATACTACTATCTAGAAAGCCCCTTGTTATGCAGAGTATTTCGGGCAAATTAGATTCTTGTCCCAGGATGTGACCCACACCAGTCGAGTAACTCCCAGGTACCCATTTTACTGATGGGTGAACATAGACAACCGGTGTAAAGAAACACGCTGGGAATCTAGCGCAGACCCTCGCAGTGTGAAGCGAGAGCTTTAGCCACTAGGCCACGTTATCACTAGCTAAATGTTGCTGCGATCCGAAAAAAAGGGAACCCAGACCCCTCTACCTCAGTGCACGCATTAGGATTTTTAATTAATGCTACTTATTTGGACGTGATCTGACAATATTGGTGTTGAGTGTTTATGTTCGTAAGTATCATATCAAGAAGTATAAATAATAGAAACCCTAAGATTATACCTCAGTTTTATACGTCCGAGGTAAGGCCTCATTTATATTACGCTGGTCAGTTCTAGTCGCTGTTTTACAGAAGGGACATAAATACGCTGGAAAATATACAGAAAAGGATGATGAGGTTCATCCAATGTATGAGAAACCATCCCTACTAAGATAGAAATATTTGCACCAATAACTCATAGTTGTGACCGGGTGTGGACGTGTGAATTGCTCATTACTCTTATAATTTGTTCATGATTGTAGCCATTTATAAACGTAAGTAAGCAAATTTACCTTTGTACCTTGTTCAGCTATCAAAACTTTGGGGCCCAGTCCCTGGACCCATTATGAACCTCTGCAATCTGTAAATACCTTTGTAACTTGTCATGATTGTGACCATATCTACCTGGAGTTCATTACCTTTGTAACTTGTTCAGCTATTAGAACTTTGGGGCCCAGTCCCTGGACCCATTATGTACCTTTGTAATCTTTTGACTACCGCACAGAGGATGGGTATGGGGTGCATAATAAACATATTAAACTAACTAACTAAAACGAAGATAGAATGAAGGTACTGAATTTGTACACTCTAGAATGACGTAGAATTAGGGGGGATATATAATTCAAGTGCAAATATAAAACGGGAATAAAGGGGATGTAAATAATGTGCAGAAAATATCTAAGCAAGACAAAACTTGAAGTAATGGACTAAAGTTGGATGAATTTAGATTTACAAAGGATACAGAGAAGTACGTATTGGTTTGAGAATAGAATTTTGGATGAGTGGAACAAACTCCCAGGTAGCTTCATTGAAACGGGAAATTTGGGTGGTTTTAAATATAGGTTGGACAGGTATATGAGAGGGTGTGGTTAGGTATGAATTGGAGCGGCCTAGCATGGGCCAGTAGGCCTTCGGTGCTCTACAATTATGTTCCCCTCAAGGGAGGTTCCTTGACGCTAGTGAGGGGCTCTTGATCTAGGGAATTGGATCTGTGCTCCGATTCCCTGAATTGAGCCTGAATACCTTCCACCCCCCCCCACATGCGCTGTATAATCCTACAGGTTCAGCGCTCCCCATGATTATAATTATAATTAATTATAATCTACATTTATGTTCTACATAAGTATCCTACTTAGAACAAAAGTATTGTATATCACTAGAAACTTTTTTTAAGTTGTCGCACTGAATTCAAAACTTAAGAGTAGACTAGATAACATTGACTACGTAACACCTGCACGTGCCAGTAGTTAGCTGAACCTTTATCCTAGCTCTAGTACACTAAGCCTATGGGTTTAGCGCTCCCTTGATAATAATAATATAATAATTATAATTCTAGTACACTAAGTGAAGAAAATTTGAAGCCCATCAGGTGAGACGTTCTCGAGTTATAAATGAAAACCACTGAGGAAGAAAAAATACAGTTAAGTACCTCAGAGTACCTCGTGGAGGATATTTAATTACCATGGTGAATGACTCTCGATCCGAGGAATTGTTGGCACCCTCCCCTTCTTTGGATCAAATCTGACTCATGAAATCGTAATGACACGATGGCAAACAAACCATACCATGGGTGGGGTTTGAACCCGCGGTCAGAGAGTCTCAAAACTCAGTGGCTAACGCGACGGTCTGGAGTTTTGAGACTCTGACCGCGGGTTCAAACCCCACCCGTGGTATGGTTTCAAATCTGACTACTTCCCATTCTTAAGACGGTGTATAACACCTACGAATTTAGAGCTTCCTACAAATATAATAATACCAAATTAGCATAATATGCATACACAGGTGGAACAGTGAGACGGTGACAGCAGGTATGTTGTGCACCAGCTGCCACACATCCAATTAGAAGGTTTAGCCAGGTGAAAATGGAGAAAAGGACGCGCCTCGAGTAACAAAAGTCTACCTGCCAGCTGGTGCTTATTGGTGGTGGTGGAGGAGGAGTCGTCTCTATTGCCACATATTACTCATATGTATGCATTTATGTATATGTATGTGCGTACTCACCTCCCTTATTTGTGGTTGCAGGAGTAGAGTCTCCGCGCTCGCGGGCGCGTGTGTATACTCAAAATTTCAGTCGCAGAGAAAGAGTTTCAGCTGTTGCCCAACATCTCCATCTAGCCTCTTCTTTGTTCACTCTTCTGGCGTCGTGAGCCCTATTATACCTAATCTTAAACTTGTATATGGATCTTGCCTCTACCACTTCGCTGTACATGTCATTCCATTTCCTGATCATTCTTTCCACTTGCCGTACGTGTTCCATCGCTCGCGCTCAGCAAGCTGTGCCAGTGGCAGATAAGTATCAGCTACTGGCTCCGCCTCTTTAATATACTGTAGCTGTCATCACCAAGTCCCTTGGGCTCTATCTTGTCTTCTCTTGAATTCATTTAGCATATTGCCTCCACTACCTTCATCTTGCTGGGCCCATTACGTACTGCTATAACTTTGTCATTATTAAACGTTATCGTTATTTTATATATTTCCTCTTGTTCTAGTTCCTTCCTAACAATTTGTCGCTGTATACAGTCAGTATACCTTAGTATAACTCACTTTGTGATCATATCTCTCATGACCCTTCCGTCTTACAGTGATGTGAAGCTGATGTTCTTCTCTAGTTATGAGACTAGTCGGGTTGTAAATCTTTGAACCTCCTCGAGCTTTTCTTTGAGCTTGATTAAATGCGGGTTCCATACTTGTGTTGTATAATGGTGTCATATGAGATCGAATGTTTAATACGCAAATCTGCATTCAGCTTGAATGAAGTCTTAACACAGCTGTGTGTACGCCGTTCATTCAGTACAGTTAAAATGTACCTCTAAGATACAACTATCAAAACTTCGCGACTTAGTCCCCGGACCCATTATGTGTCTCAGTAATCTTTTGACTACCGCCCGCAGGATGGGTATGGGGTGCATAGTAAAGATGTTAAACCAAGGTAGAGCTGCAGGTTGGCTGGTTTCTTCTGCGATATCTCCACTTGTTTCCACCCCATTTGTGTTTATTCATATGTATATTCGTTTATTTTTTTATTAACACATCGGCCGTTTTCCACCAAGGCAGGGTGGCCCGAAAAAGAAAAACTTTCACCATCATTCACTCCATCACTGTCTTGCCAGAGGCGCGCTTACACCACAGTTATAAAACTGCAACATTAACACCCCTCCTTCAGAGTGCAGACACTGTACTTCCCATCTCCAGGACTCAAATCTGGCCTACCGGTTTTCCTGAATTCCCTTCATAAATATTACCATGCTCACACTCCAACAGCACGTCAAGTCCTAAAACCATTTGTTTCCATTTGCTCCTATCTAACACGCTCACGCATTCTTGCTGGAAGTCTAAGCCCCTTGCACAAAAAAAAAAAACAACTCTTTTACATCCTCCCTCCAACCTTTCCTAGGCTGACCCCTACCTTGCCTTCCCTCCACTACAGATTTATACGCTCTCGAAGTCATTCTCTTTCGTTTCTTCCTCTCAAATGTCCGAACCACCTCAACAACCCCTCCTAAGCCCTCAGGATAATAGTTTTGGTAATCCCGCACATCCTCCTGATTTCAAAACTACGAATTCTCTGCATTATATTCACATCACACATTGTCCTCAGACACAACATCTCCACTGCATCCAGCCTTCTTCTTGTTGCAGCATTCACCACCCATGCTTCACACTCATTTAAGAGCACTAGTATAATTATACTCTCATACATTCCCCTCTTTGCTTCCATGGACAAAGTTCTTTGTCTCTACAGACTCCTCAGTGCACCACTCACCTTTTTTCCCTCGTCAGTTCTATGATTCACCTCATCTTTCATATTCGCTTATATAGATTTTTATAATTTAGCTTTAGATATATTTTACAGAGATGTGTATACATGAAGATGTGTGTGCACCTGCTATGCATGGTATAAACATCAAGATCGAGGAATTGTACTGTGTCGCTCCCTTTAAAATCTCCTCTTCTTCCTCGTATACCTTCCATGCTCCATCGAATGCACTTTTCTCTCCCTCTTCCTTTTCCTTGAGTTGTATCTCTCTTGCTATCTCTCTGACTATATGGCTGGAGAGAGTGGAGGGTGGGGAGAGAGCCTTATTTTATACTGTTCTAGTCTCAACTATCAGGATAGAATTACTGGTAGCTATATTGATGTTAATCCTTCTTGGAACTCACATGTATCATTTTTTCTTGCGTTGACAGGCGTCGCTGATGAAGCAAGACAATGCGCTCTTCCGCCAGCTCCTCACCCTTCACGACTCCATCTCTGCACTCAAGATCACCCCCGCCTACCCTCACAGACCGTCCTCACCCGCCTCCTTAGACTCCTTCACCGAGGAGGAGGAAGACGAAGATGATGATGACGAGGAAGAGGAAGATGATCAGGTATGTCTTGGTGGGAGGAAAGGGAAGGAGGAAAAGTTGACTAAGAAAAATTATACAAGAGGAAGAAGATACAAAGAAATGGGGAAAATAAGTAAAGTAAAAAATAAAAGGTTTTCAATAAGGATAAACTAAGTGACGGTGGGAAACATAAAGATAACATATTTAAAAAAAATCTGCAGTTAATCGTTAATTTACAATATTTATTACCAATTTTCTGAAGAATTACTCATATCATGACTGGAACAATTCGCAAATAATCTGCTATTTGAAGAAGAAAAACTAGATGATATTGTGACTGGATAATGGTCCAGAACAGATGGAATCTTCGTCTAAAGCTTCTTTTCAAACTTTTGGGGTTATTACATTTTTTTTTCTGAAGGGTTAACAATGGTTTTGAGGGGCAAGAGTTAGAGCCATCACATGGGTTGATGGTGGTGAGAATTTATCTATAAAAAACTTGTAGTTGCCGGACCAGGTAGGGGCGCCTGCAGATATGACCTTAAAAATAATTATCAAATATATTTTAGCCATCACACTACAGTGATAGAGCACAGAAGTAGCACACAACGCTTGGCATGAAATTTGAATACCACTCATTTCTTGAATTCATGTATATTCATGTATGTGTATATATATATATATATATATATATATATATATATATATATATATATATATACGTATATATATATATATATATATATATATATATATATATATATATATATATACGTATATATATATATATATATATATATATATATAATATATATATATATATATATATATATATAAAACTTGATAGAGGGTAAGAGGAGATAAAAATTGAAGGAGAATAGTGTGAGAGAAAGTACTGGGTGAGAGAATAGTAAAGAACACTACTCGGGTACTAATTATGAAGTGACCACAGGTGGTGGTGGGCGTTGTGCAGAAGACAAGCGGACGGGAAGACAACCTCTCTGATGTGGACGAAGGTCTGGAGATCGATCATTCCACCAGCCACTCCAACAGCCCCACCTCCACTCTCTCCTCCAACTCCTCCAGGGACTCTCAGTTCTCTCGTTATTCCTCCGAGGTAAGGATAATCTATAACCACTCTGCCCTCCATCCATCTCAAGGGATCAGAATGTGTGGTATGTATTAAATTGCATTCCTGAGGTCTTCGTCTCCCCGTCAGAATGCAGAACTTGGTAAGTAACACGTGAAAATAGGAGCTCCTTTTGCTTGTTTCCCATCGGCGGCTTCTCAACAGACGTATGTAATAAATAACCAACAGCTAGACAGTATGTCATAGCTTGTGATGACAGATGTAATCCGGCAGGGTTGCACCTGTAAGTAATCTTAAAATTAACCGCTGAAATGTGTAGTGTTCCCAGAGAACTGTGGTGTAAGTGCACAAAATCTATTTGTGATACAAGGAACCTAGGAGTTATAGGTAAATGAATAGGCATATGCAAATTAAAAATATGAGCATACGGTGATTATTGTGAATGTATAAATAAGTATATAAAAGTATGCCGTTTTTCAGTAGCCAGAATTGTAATAAGTCTGCGTTTTACAGTGTTTTAAAAAAATTGTGATCCTGTTTTAAAGGTAAGGTTTCATTAGTTATAACGGTAATAAAGCTTTATATACAAATGAACTAGTGTTCATTTAGTCTTTGCTCTTGTAGATGTACTGTAGAAGCTTTGTGTTCATAGTAGTGCATAGACTAATTTAGTTACAAAAATATTTACTTTCCAATTTAATTAACCCCTTGTGTTAGACATTATTGCTTACCGGGTTGTTATATAGAGTCTCTACATAGAGGTTCTAACCAGGTACAGGGAGGTTATGAACTTTGGCATCTCTTGGTAAAAGGGAAATATGAGCCTAGGTCTAGCCGGGTAGAGGGTGTATAAACCTAGTTCTGGCCATATAGAAAGGTGTACGAACAAAGATCTGGTTTAGTAGCTGTATGAACGTAGGTCTGGCCATATAGGTAAATGAACGTAGGTATTGTCAGGTAGAGGTAATGTCGAGTGATTGAGGGGAGGTGGTTTACGAGGCTGCCGTGCAGCTAGTCTAGCTTGCTTCCTTCCAGACTGCTCACACTAGCCCGGACTGCAGCCCCACCCAGCCATCCAGAACTACCCAACACACCTTCCAGAGAGCCACCAACAGTCCACATGCCGCTCATAATGGCCAGCTGGACAACAGTGGCCCGGCCAACCTGGCCTTCATGCGGTGTCGCAAGTCGTACGCTCCAAATGCTCGAAATCGGCGGCGATCATCGTCAGCGCATCTTTTAGGAAGGCCGGATACAGAGGTTCTCCACGGGCAGTCAGACTGTCATCAAGCTACCACCCAGGACACACTCAGCCGCACTAGTACCAAGTCCACCAGTATGAAGTTGTTCGAGGGTACTGCAGCCCAGAGTGAGCCTTCCCCCAGCAGTGGGAGCTACATGTGGGGTGTAACACCAGCGGGCCGCCCACGGTCCAGCTCTGCCGTAGTGACAGCAGCAGAGTACTGCAGCAGCAGCAGGTCCCCAGCAGCAGTGGGACGACCTCTCGTCCACCCGGCGTACCGTGAGGCGCTTATTATGTAACGGTATGACCACCACTACCACTAAAGCACCGGAATTAGCCTACTCACCATGTAGTTGTACTCGAGTGTGTCTAGTCTACTCACACTAATGAAGCACCTACACCCACTCTTCTTATATGACTTATATCTCCTATTATTTAATTAAGGTTTATTACTTTATCCTTTTCGAATGGTTGAAATAACCAATTAATATTCTCTTTCATTCTCCTCCTCTCTTTATTTTGCTATACCAGTATTTGACATGCTTACTAACGCATTGTGTTCTGCTTCATCCATATCCACCAACGCATGTCTGGGCAACTAATGCTATATACCAGCCTCTTGTAGTCACTCACCTATGCTAAAATAAAAAAAATATTTACAAATACAAAGCCTTCAGATTATTTGGCCTAACAGTTGTTGCTAAGGTGCTGCAGTTGGCAAGAGCTAGTGTAAATCTGGTCTTAGTTCCAGCTATTATTTTGGGGCGGCTTGCGTATTGTGATGGAGGTCTTTAGGTTTGAGTACAGTATTTAATTTAGTCGTCAGCCGGTGTACCAACGACCCGTTAAAAAAACAAAACTGGAAACTCGTATATTCTTAACACATCCAAAAGTTATAATGTGAGTGTCTGTGATAAGCATGTGGTAGTGATGATACTCTTAATACCTTGATGCTGGTAAGGGGGTCTTGATCCAAGAAATTGGCCTTATTTTCCCCTGAATGCCTTCCATTCCCCATGAGCTAGATTATCAGTGGGGTTAGCACTCTCCCACGATTAATATGGATAAAAATGCAGTGATAATAATAATAATATTGATAATTATCATTAAGTGCCTTAATCCCTTGAATTGAGCCTGAATGCCTCCTAAGCACTGTAAGAAACCTACGAGTTTAGCACTTCACCCATAAGTGAAGGGAAGGGAGCCAGTATATATAAACAAGATGGGACGGGGCCGGGAGTAGTAGTAGTAGTAGTAGAAGTGAAAGTAGTGCAACAGTGGCAGAAGTGGCAATATGAAGGGAGTAGTGGTAGGGAAACAAGTCAGTGGTGTTAACAAATCAGTAGTAGTGAAGGTAGTCTAAGAACAGGAGGAAAAAAATCACTGGAGAGTTAATGGCCCATGAGGGTAGGACAAAAGCCCAGGGGTAGGGGAACTGATAAGACAGATTCCCCCTTAGGCAGAAGAAAGGAAAGACAGAGGTGGGTTCTGTCCTATGGGTCCCTCCCCCCTGGGTTTTTGTCTTACCCTCATGGGTCATTAACTCTCCCTCAGTGCCCCCTTTTTTCTCTCTTGTTCTTTGACTACTTCCACTAACATTACATTCTCTTATTCTTGTTTCACTACCACTGCTACCTTTTTATTGCCACCTCTGCCACTGTTGCACTACTACAATTATACTACCTCCTCCTTTTTTTACTACTACCAACCCTGCCCCCCCTCTCGAATATATGTACTTGCTCCCATTTCTTCTCAACTGTGTGACTAGTACTGTAAGTGGTTTAGTCGAACTGAATCGTCATAAGTGTCTGTCTCCTATGTGCGAGTTTTTTGTGCATTTTTCCAGTCATGGTATTGTGCCATTTTATTCTTTAAGCACAGTATAATTCATCTTAAATACATATTACATAGTCTGATGAAGTGGTTTGGACATTTAGAGAGGATGGAGAAAAAGAGGATGAGTAAGGCATATGAATCTGAGGTGTAGGGAAGAAGGGTAGGGGAGTCATTCTAGGGAGGGGGTAAGGGAGGTTTTCAATGCTATGGGCTTGGACATCCAATAGATTTGTGTGAACATGTTAGATAGGAATAAATGGAAGCAAATGTTTTTTATGATTTGACGTGCTATTATGGAGTGTGAGCAGGGTAAGCAGAACTTGAACTCTAAAGGTGGGAAGGGGATGTTGCAGTCCAAGGGGATCTCTGAACAGTGATGTCAGCATACTTCTGGGAAGATAGTGATTGAATGAGTAGCACTGCATTTCTTCTTTTTCGAGGGTCACCTTACCTCCGTGGAAAATGACATGTTAAATAGGAGGGAGTGGAGGCAAGTGGTTTTTGGGACTTGACAAGCTGTTGAAGTGTGAGCAAGGTAACATTTTGTGAGGGAATTCAGGAAAACCGGTTAGCTGGACTTGAGTCTTGGAGGTGGGAAGTACAGTGCCTGCACTCTTGAGGAGGGGTGGGTGGGGATATTTGCAGTTTGGAGGAGCATCTGAACTGTAATATCTGTATGCCTCTGAAAAGAGTGTTCTTATTTGGGCCACCCTGCCTCAGTGGGAGATGGCCAGTGTGTTAAATAAATAAATATATAATCAGTTATTATTTTTGTGGGAAAGCCCTAAACCTATAAAGGTCATACAGCACCTATGGGTCATTAGGTGCTGCTTTGGTAGGCATGGAATTATTTTTCTTTTTTTAACAAGTCGGCCGTGTCCCACAGAGGCAGGGTGACCCAAAAAGAAAATACTTTCATCATTCAACACTTTCACCTCACTTATACATAATCACTGTCTTTGCAGAGGCACTCAGATATGACAGTTTAGAAGTCCCTCCAAACTGTCAATATGTAAAGTGCAGGCATACTTCCCATTTCCAGGACTCGAGTCTGGCTAAATCTATAATAACCGGTTTCCCTGAATCCCTTCACTAAATATTACCCTGCTCGCACTCCAACAGCTTAAGTCCCAAAAACCATTTGTCTCCAATTACTCCTATCTAACACGCTGGAAGACAAAGCCCCTCGCCCATAAAACCTCCTTTACCTCCTCCCTCCAACCTTTTCGAGGGCGAACCCTAACCCTCCTTCCTTTCCCTACAGATTTATATGCTCTCCAAGTCATTCTGTTTTGATCCATTCTCTCTTAATGACCAAACCACCTCAACAACCCCTTTTCAGCCCTCTGACTAATACTTTTAGTAACTCCACACCTCCTCCTAATTTCCACACTCCAAATTCTCTGCAAAATATTTACACCACACATTGCCTTTAGACAGGGCAATTTACAACCCAAGCTTCACACCCATATAAGAGTGTTGGCACCACTATACTTTCATACATTCCCTTCTATGCCTCCATAATGTTTTTTTGCCTCCACAGATACCTGAATGCACCACTCACCTTTTTTCCTTCATCAATTCTATGGTTAACCTCATCCTTCATAAACCCCAATGGAAATAAGTCACTCTGTCTGACTTTTTTTGGGTTATCCTCGGTTCTCTACACATATGCTGCTATGTATGATAATTCTATGTAACTGTATTTGTGTATACCTGAATAAACTTACTTAATCAGCTGACAAGTCAACTCCCAAATATCTCTGAAAACATTCACTTCTTCCATACTCCCTCTTCCTAATGTGATATCCAGTTTTTCTTTATCTAAATCATTTGATACCCTTACCACCTTACTCTTATCTATGTTCACTTTCAACTTGCCACCTTTATTACGTATCTTTAAATGGAAGTGCTAAGTCTGTTAAGGGTCATACAGCACGTGGAGAACGGGAAGCTGTCAGGTTTGATTTAAGGAAAAAAAAATAATTCCTTGGCTCAAGAGCCTTCCTCCCTCCCACTTTCCTTCAGCATCAAGGATTATATTATTATTATTATTACAATCAAGGGGGAAGCGCTAAACCCGGAGGATTATACAGCGCCTGGGGGGGGGGGATGTGGAAGGCATTCAGGCTTAATTTGGGGAACTGGAGCACAGATCCAATTCCCTAAATCAAGAGCCCCTCACCAACATCAAGGAACCTTCCTTGAGGGGTCAAGGATTATAATAATCAGAAATGGGAGGAAAGTGCTAAACCCATACAGGTCATAGTGTCTGTGGAATGGCAGCCAATCAGGTTTGATTCAAGGAGAGGATAAATTTGCTTTTTGGATCAAGAGCCCCTCACTCACATCAAGGCACCCCTTCTTGATTAATGTAGGTATTGGAGGCATGAGGTTTCTCTATTTTTTTTTTCACAGCCTGCCACGTTCATGCATGCTTATATTTTAAAACTAGTTTATAATTGTACTATTTTCAATACATATATTATTTTAATGTAATCACTGCTTTACTAATGTAGATCTTTTAATCCCAGGTGATATACATGTTGGGCTTTCTCACACTGTAGTAGTCTTAAACAACACAGGGTTTTTGGTATGGTTTAGTTCAGCAAGTCCTTGATACAGTATGTACACAATTATCAATGTCCCTTTGGGCATTTAGTGCCTTTATCTACTTTGTAGATAAATTAAACAATCTACATCCTTCCATCAAATTCATATATGAAGGGAAAACTGAAAGTAAACTTTTTGCCTGTTGAAATAAATAACAAAAAGGCCCACTTACCTTGGGGGACATACACAAATAAGAATAAAAGGAGAAGTTAGACGAGTTTTCCCGATTGACCATTGACAAATCCCCAACCAGAGGTGGAGCAGGAGGCAATAACAGGAAGAGGTGGAATAGTAGTGTAGTAAAAAAATTGTATTTTTAAAATACCCAAAAAAACACACACAAACCCCACCCCACCCAAACCCCCTTTCCCACCCCCACCACCCCCCAAACTCCACACAAAACAACCGACCCCAAAAATTTTAACCCACTTTTTTTAAAAAAAAAGGAAAAAAATTTGGTAGAAGGGGGAAAAAAGGGAAGGGACGAGCCAGAAAATAAAAAGGAAAGGGGGAGCATGCAGAGAGCTAAACCACAGAGGGAGAGAAAGCGCCCCGAGGGCGTGAAAGGGGAAGTGGTAAAATAAAAAAATGAAGAAGGAACAAAAACACGAGACTGGGAGAGAAAGAAAACCCCAGAGGAAAAAAAGGAGGAGGAAAGGGGAAGGGGGAAAAAGAAAAAGAAGAAGAAAAAGAAGAAAAAAAAAATGAGGTTTGGGTTTAGCCCCGGGTGTTTAAAGTTTGGAGCATTTTCAATGTGTGGGAGGGGAAGGCATCTACAGAGACGAACCCAGGGCTAAGGTTCAAAAAGGAAAGTTGTGTTTTAGAGGGATTAAACAAACGGCGACGTTGAGAGAAACGGTCGATCTCTTTCTGACAGACTTGGGAGCAAAAAATAGTGTGTTATGAATGGTTATAATACCAACAAGATGAGGGGGTAAGACACATGTGCAACATCTGGGTATCTTTATTGTAGGTTTCGCCATCCGTGGCTTTTCAATAAAAATTCTAACATAACTTAAAGCGTAGAACTTGTACAGAAGTGAGGTAATCGTCTCTCAACCTGGGGGATAGGTGCAAAACAGCCCATAGTCGTGGGAAATTTTGAAGCGAAGAAAGAAACCTGGGGCTTTTTATGTAACGTAGGTGTAGCAGCGAGGGCTATTCACTGGTGGGGGGGATTCCCCCGTGAAACTTAATTCTGAGGACATGTACATAAACCTTCACGACTACGAATCTACTACTACAAAAACCCCCTCTCTTTGGGAAGGACCTACTTCCCCTGGGGAATCCCGCCCCCCAGTGAAAAATGCCCCCGTCTGTACACCCGACGTTACTATATAAGCGCCAGGATTCTTTCTTCTGTTTTAGAATCTCCACGCTATGGTGTGTTCGCACCTACTCCTAGGTTTAGAGTGATTACCTCATCTTTGTAATATTTCTTCTTCAAGTTTGTCTAGAATTTTATTGAAAAAGCCACTGGATGGCAAGTCTACAAAAAAGATACCCAGGGGTTTGACGTTCTTACCCAAAAATAGTGTTTGGCTTGCCCACCTAACAATGTTTTTTGTCACGTCAGGACCATAGCCCTCCCATTTACTGGTCTTTTTGCTAAACTGTTCCCTACTTCAAATCGAACAGCGCCGTTTAGTTGAATCCCCCCCCCCTAATACACAAATTTCCTTGTATGAACCTTAGCCCCCGGCTTTGTCTCTGTAGATGCCTTCCTCTCCCCTACATTGTAAAAGCTCCAAACTTCAGAATACCCGTGCTTAACCTGAATTTCCCCATTTTTTTCTTCTTCTTTTCTTCTTTTTCTTCTTCCTCTTCCCTTTCCTTCTCCTTTTCTCCCCGGGTTGTTTTCTCTCTCCTGTCTCGTGTTTCTGTTCCTTCTTCATTTTTTTTTATTTCACCCTTCCCCTTTCACGCAAACCCCGGGCGCTTGCTCTCCCCCCTTGGGTTTCTAGTACTTGGCATGCTCCCTTCCTTTGTATTTGACTGGCTCGTTTCCTTATTTCCCACTTTACCCTACCCTCTACTACCTTCTTCTTCTACTACAACTACGATGAAATTAAGACACAAGTGCGGCGTTGGTTGTCTTTGTTGGGACGTTCCGCCATCCCGGGTGGCCCCGGGTGGCGAACGCTCGGTGGGGGTGCCCCGGGGTTTGCAGTGTCATTTCATCCCGTCGGTATTATAACAATTCTTTACTACTTCTACTAACTACCCCCACCCCTTCCCGCCTATATATAGCCGTCCTGCTCCCCCCTGTTAGTGTGACTTTTTCAATGGGCCCAAATCGGCCGAAACGTGTCGTAAACTTCTCTCTTTTATGTGCGGGTTATTTGTGTATTTTTCCCGTTGTTCTGTAAAAAAAATAGAAAAGTTTTGACAACCGAAACTGAAAAAAACATGTACTTGAGCTAGATATATTATTCTCATGTTGTGAGCAAAGAGTTTGGGAAAATTTTTGTGTTACCTCAGGGTTAAACCAAAATTGTATAGATGATTTAAAAAATTTAAAATACACGTTTTCAGGAAATTTACATTACTCAC